TTAAAAAATGGAGAGATGACCCAGAAATACCAAAATCTAAACTTTTTTTATTTATTTTCTGGTAGAAAATGTCCAATTGTATACAGTGGACCTTCAGATATCCGGACGCCAGATATCCGGATGCTTCAGTATCCGGACGATTTTTCATCGGAACGAATTTTTTAAATGTTATTTTGTCTTGTTTAACTGGTGATTCAGATATCCGTATGCTTCACATATCTGGACAAATTGACTGGAAACCAAAGTGTCCAGATAAATGAGGGTCCACTGTATAGAGCTTTGGCTTTAAATAATGATTTAAATAGCATAGACGTATAGTGTCCCGCAGTAGCTACATTGATTTGTCGATGGATTCGAGATATATATCAAAGCAGCATTTTAGGTTCGAATACAGTGATTTTTTATTCTATTTTTTTATTTATTTATTTTTTTTTTTTTTGCTTGAAATTTCTGAATTGGTAGTAAAAAAAAAATACTCCTTGCATAAAGTTGCAAATTATGTTTATATATATTATTTTACTTTAATTGTTATATTTTTCAATGTGTTAACATTTAAATTTGTCAATTATAGAGCTAACATTCTCAAATAGAAATAAACATACATGAACTTGTAACTACAAAGTTACACCAATCCTGAATGATGAAAAAATATTGAGTATATTAAAAAAAAACTAGCATCTTTTATCTTTCCTTAACATTAACATTCAATTTTTTCTTTGCATTTGAAAACTGAGCACAAAAATTATTTAGCTTTAGTTTTTTATTATATTCTATTAAATGTATCCAGCATAGATAATGTATCTTTCATGACGCCTCTTAATTGAAAAAAAAAATTAAAAATAAACAAACATAAGACAGAAATCTATAGATACCCATGAAATTTCTAGGTTCATTGTGGCAATTTATGCAATATATAAGCCAATAATTTAAAGATACTAGATGTATAAGATATGTATTAAAACTACATGGGGCTTGGGCATTTGAATCTGAATTGTTTCGTGTCATTGATTCCTGCCGACTGCCTATTTAGTGCGCCCCCTTTCTTTATATCAATGTTATAGCCCACTTTTTTCTTCTGACTCATTTCATTTCAGATTATGTCTATAGCTCTACATTAGCTGGAAAGCTGTTTGTTGTTGTTTTTTTTATTTTTTTATTTTTTTTTTTTTTGGGGGGGGGGCAAATGTTGAATGCCTAATTTAAGATGTTGCTGATATATTTATATTGAACGTAAATTGGAGAAAACAAAACCTTCTTGTGAAATTTTGAACAAGGCGCGTAGCATCGGTTTTGAAAGTGGGGGGGGGGCATCCAAAAAAATGGGGGGGGGGGGGTAGGTAAACTTTTTGTCAGTGTCAACTTCTTTCAGTACCAATTCTAATGCTACATTTTCGGTACATCATTAAAAGTGGGGGGGGGCAACCAGGCTTTCGATTGACATTTCCTATAGCATAGGTAAGGTTGGTAAAAAAAGTGCCCCCCCTCCCCCGGCCCTCCCTGTTGCTACGCCCTTGCGAGCAATAAATCATTCTGCTCTCAAGAATATTATTCGTACTTACTGAAATTCAAAATTGATTGTCGGCGACGGTGCCTTTCTTTGTTATTATCGGCTGCATATAGGTGATCGATTTACATGTGTATTGGCAGTTGTTTTGAACATATTTTATTGATATAAGAATTGGAAACAAGTTCAGAATAACTTCGTTTTACAAATTTATTAAAACTCCAAAAACTTAACAAAATCATATCATACTACATCTTATTTCTCGAAATAACGCGAAAGTTACGCGTTTATTCGCGAAAGTTTGGCGTTTATTCGCGAAAGTTTGGCGTTATAACGTGAAAGTTACGCGTTTATTCGCGAATTGGCAATTTTTTGTAAGTTCTATATATAATCCTTTATAGGATCTGCCGCCATTATAGCTCCAATATGGCGAATATGTAAATGAGCAGAATGAACACTGTCATATAAGTCGTCGGAGTCGCATCACAAAGACAACCACATGGAGGTTTCCATCTTTATTCTGTTAACTAATGTAAAACATAAAACCCAAATCTGACACATTGTATAATTCCGGATTACTGATACATGACATCTCCCCTCTTAAGTTTACTGTACAAATGATATTAATAAAAGTATTTGATGTAAAGTACACAATAAACTATTAAATTTGCATAGAGATTCTAATATTATTTTCTAAAGTCATTGAACTTTAACATGAGAGTTTTTGACTAGAATAAATGGAATTGTGTCCACAATTTTGAATAAACAGAACCAGTATCAAATTGTAAACTGTTAACATATAAACAAATGAAAATATGCTTTATATGGTTTTCACTAGGCATACTACCTTCAAACCATATGTGGGGATTATTCTGCCCCTTCAAAGAAAACATAAAGTAACACAAGTTCATAAAATTTCACAATCACATTTCACAATCAGAATACTTGGCAGGTACTTTGACGATGCGCCCAGATCTTGTTTGCTGAGGGATGGATAGACACGCATATGAATTCGACTTGACAGATTTGGAAGGATTTGCGACAGGTGAAGTGGTGGGTTTTGGAACTTCATCCAGTGGTCTTGATCGAGTTGGAATTGCATCCGCATTTGCAAATGGCTGAAAGTTTTCCTTCGGAATATTCCTCAATAACGGAGTTGACTGCGTTGGTCTGAGCATTTTCCGATTCCTTCTGTAAAGTTTGCTGTCAGGGGTCTGCACAATGTATGACCTCGGTGCGTGATGTTTTGACTTAACTGTAGCATGTTTCCAGATGTTGCCATCCTGAATCATAACTTGATCTCCATCCTTGAGTTCTGGTAGCACATTGCCCGCTTTTCTGTCATAGTAGATCTTAGATTTCACTTGTCGCTTTTGTAGTTTCTCCTGTATTTGTTTTGAGTTTGATGGACGTAATAATTTACTTGTAGTAGGAAGTGAGGTTTTCAAACGTCTGTTCAAGAATAGCTGAGCTGGTGACTGACCTATATCTAATGGCGTATTGCGGTAGTCCATCAAAGACTTGTATGGATCTGATGACTTCTTTAGTAAGCGTTTCACTGTTTGAAGCATTCTTTCTACTTGACCGTTTGACTGAGCAAAATAAGGACTAGACGTAATATGAGTAAATCCATAGTCCTGAGCAAATTGTTTGAATTCATTACATGAGTACTGCGGACCATTATCTGAAATCACTTCATCAGGAATCCCATATTTTTCGAACTGGCTTTTCAAAGCTGCAATCACATAGGTTGCTGAGGGTTCAGTTAATTTCATGACTTCTGGGCATTTGGAATAGTAGTCGACGGTCAGTATATAATGCTTGGAGTTCAGCATAAACAAATCAGTGGATACTTTAGCCCACGGGCGGTCAGGTAAGTCAACTAAGACCAGTGGCTCTTTCAGGTTGCTGTTCTGAGTTTCAGCACATATAGCACATTTGGAGACCATGTCTTCTATTTGAGACGACATTCCTGGCCAATATATGACTTCACATGCTCGATTTTTACATTTCACTCTTCCCATGTGCGCCTGGTGAATAATGTTGAGCATTTCTGCTTGCATTGACTTTGGAATTATAAGCTTGTCTCCTTTGTATAAAAGACCATCTAAGCAAGCGATTTTATCTCTGAATGACCAATATAGATGTAGACAATTTGGTAGGTGGTCTTTGTCTGATGGCCAGCCATTCTGGACTGTGTCTCTTAACGACTGTAAGAAATCATCATCTGCCGTCTTCTCCTGTAGTTCAACATAGCGTTTCTGTGACACTGGTAAGTATGTGGCAGGTGAGACTAAGTTTACTTCCAGATCAGGAACAAGTTCTTCCTCTGTTTCATGTAAGTATGCTCGACTGAGTGTGTCTGCAATGTAGAGTAACTTTCCTGGCTTGTATTGAACATTCAAGTCATACTTCTGTAGAGTTAGTAGGAGTCGCTGTAATCGCATAGGTGCTTTACATAGAGGTTTGCTGAATATCGACTGTAGTAGTTTGTGATCTGTTTCCACATTTACCAATCTGCCGTAGACATACTGGTGGAATTTTTGGCATCCATAAACAACAGCCAATGTTTCTTTTTCAATTTGTGCATAGTTTTGTTGTGATGATGTAAGAGCACGGGAACCATATGCGATAGGTCTTCCTTCTTGTATCAAAACTGCTCCAATTCCCTTAGAGCTCGCATCTACAGATAATGTCAGTGGTAAATGAGGGTCATAATACCTCAAAACAGATGCGTTCGTTGCCATCGTTTTTTAATGTTTCAAAGCTCTCGTCATGCTGAGCTGTCCAGTTCCAATCTGCATGGTTTTCAGTGAGTTTCCGCAGTGGTGTGCTGACTTCAGACATCCGAGGCATAAATTTTCCGAGGTACTGTACAAATCCAAGGAAAGTAAGTAATTCACATTTGTTGGTTGGCTTTTCCATAGCTATGACGGCAGGGATTTTCTCTGGATCCGGTTTCACGCCTTCATCTGTCAACATATGTCCAACATATTTCATACTTTTGCAACGTATCTTACACTTGTCCAAGCTAAGTTTGAGATTGAACTCTCTGGCCTTTTCCAATACCTTCTTGAGACGTTCATCATGTTCCTGTTCTGTTGAACCCATATCAAAATATCGTCTATTATCGCCTCTGCTCCTGGTATGTCTTCTACCATCTGTGAGGTTATTTTCTGAAACACTTCAGATGCTGATTTTATACCAAATGGTAATCTTGTAAAACGAAAACGCCCAAATGGAGTGTTGAAAGTTGTAAGTTTCGAGCTTTCTTCATCCAGCCTGATCTGCCAAAAGCCAGACACAGCATCAAGCTTACTGAAAACTTTGGCGTTTGGCATGTTGGCTATGACTTCATCTATTGTTTTTAATGGAAAATGTTCTCTTAGTATGGCCCTATTCAGATCCTTTGGGTCAATACAAATGCGAATCTTCTGTCCTTTGTTCACCACTACAATGCTGTTGACCCATGGGGTCGGTTCTGTTTGCTTAATAATCACACCAGAGTCCTCCATAGACTCAAGCTCAGCGCGCACTTTATCCAATAACGAAATGGGAATTTTTCTTGGCGGGTGAACAACAGGTTGTACACTTGAATCAATTTTGATTGAATGAGTTTCTGGCAGGCAACCCAGTCCTCGAAATCTTCATAATCACTTCCTGGGAAAATATCAGATAAAGTCTTTAAAACTGGGGTGTCCTCATCTATGACATTCACACGATAGACGAGATTCAATGATTTACACGATTGGGCTCCAATGACGTTCGGTGCGTCCAAGTCAATGATGTAGAAATCAGTTGTGTATTTGCATCCTTTGTGAGTCAGCTCAAGTTGCGCAACACCACTTGGTTCTATCACATGTCCTGAGTAAGATTTCAAACGAAATGCTGGTTTCTTGAGTTCTTCACAGAGTTTTAACTGTTTGAAAGTTTTTCTGTTCAACACATTGCACTTTGCTCCTGTATCTAATTGGAATTCAACCATTGTCCCACAAAGTTGTAGTTTTGTTGACCAGTCTGCATTCGTACTGTTAACATCTTTGGTAAGCATTCCAAGAAATAAAGTGTCATCTGAATCATCTGACTCCTCCTGAAGGGTGTGTACAGATTTGTTGCTTTTATTCTTGAATTTGTGCTTTGATGTATAAGACACTTTCGATCTACACACACACTCATAGTGGTCCCGCTTGTTACATTTTCTGCAGAGTCTACCAATGGCTGGACAAGTTTCTCCTCTTTCGTGCTCAGACATACCACATCTTGTGCAACTTGTGAACGATTTCTGATGCTTAAAGTGTTTCCGTGGTCCTTGTGTGGGTTTTGTTTTGGCTTGACCGGTATAGTGATTTATTTTCTGTCTTTTTATTATGTCAATCATTGGATCCTGTTCATGCATTGTTTTTAGTTGGGCTTGTGATAACTCGTAAGTACGTGCAATGTCTATTGCCTTCTCTAACGTGAGATTTGAGCCCTCATTTATCAGTTTGTCACGGATTTTGTCCGACCTTACTCCGAATAGTAGCCTATCTCTCACCATCTCGTCTGCATTTTGGTATCCGCAGTCCTTTACACCAACTTTTAAAGCTGTGATAAATTGTTCACATGAGTCACTTTCACTTTGTACAATGCATTGAAATTTATACCTAGCGAATACGTGGTTGGACTTTGGTTCTACATATGCCTTGAATTTCCCGTATAAAGTTTCAAGTGATTTTTTTTCATCATTGTCTAGATTCCAAGTTCCATATATTTCTCTACCCTTATCACCAACCCATATCATCAAAAAACTGCATTTTTATTCTTCATTCTTTTTCTTGAGTGGACCATTAAACATGAATTCAACGTGTGTTTTGAATGTCTGCCATGCTTTCGGCAGGTCAACCGCGTTCCACAGGTTGGACACACACCTCCAAATGGTCATTTAACACCCGTTTGGTGGTCAATCGCCCATTTCGGCGTCTTTTTAACCTACCAAATGGTGGTCTTTTTTATTCAAATCCATTTTTTATTGAAATAAAGCAAAAGCGCATTTACTTAGGCATTTGGGAATTTAAATTAACATATTCCTCGCACATTTAATACAATTTAGGCAAATTTTCATGTGGAATTTCTATGAAACATCGTAAAAACAAAACCCCCAATTCTTTTATGACGGCCGAACTATTTGGTCTAACAATACGAAAAATTATTTTGTTGTGTACAGTTCGGTAAAAAATATATTTAAACAAGAGGTGTTAGTCTAGAGAAGTAACTTTTCAAATGATCTTTCAATCTGCATTTATATAATTCTCTATAAAATCCCGTTAAACACGAGCTCCTCGTATTGTATTCGTATGGTGGGCACTTATCGCAATAATATTCATTTTCCTACATTTGAATATAACATTTATTCTTTATTTTCTTTTAGGATGAAGTTACGATTTCTGTGTGACCCTTTGTGGTTTATTATGCATATCTATGATGTATCTACCTTATTTATTAAATATTTTTGAATAAAGTACGGTATTAGCAGTAATTCGCCGAAAATAATACGATATTTTAATCTTCTTTGTAAAATTTTCTGATGTTTTGCTTTGAAGTAAGGAAGATGCGAACTAAATTCTACAGGCACAAACATGACGTAATTTTTAACTATGACGTCACTAATGCGCGCTAAACATGTAATGGTCGTGTAAAATCGTTAAATTATATTGAAAAATGAGTAATCTTTGCTGAAATTAGACCCTTTCACCTGCAACAACCACTTTTATACTCCGCATATAAGTTCATCATTACATATCGCAGTTACACTTTTAGAATAGTGTTGGTTGTCACCTGTGATCAATATGAATTTTGCAAAAGTTAACATACGGAAAAAAGATATTTTACCGACACAATTTTCATGATATCGATGTTAATGACGCATAATTGACACACAATGAGATTCTCTGATTTTAAGTACCATCACTGGATATCGTAAACTATTAATACTTATGGATGTGAATAAAAAATTTTGAAAACGAAGAATAAATGGTACCTAAAGATGCCGCTTGTACTTATGCTGTTTGTACATCATCTGCACAAAGTGTATAGACTATAGTGTCCGTTGATTGTACATGTAGTATTGAACAACAGTACTAAAATATCCTAGACCTCAATTCATTCCACAAAAATAGCACAAAAATATTTTTTTTTAAAGATTAATTTTAAAAAATCGGAATTACCTCAGTATAATTATGTTTTCTACGAATCTTCCTCAAAGTACATGTGTATGTAGTCTTACTATAGTCATAGTGTGACCTCAGAACAATAATATGACAAACATAAAATTAAAATAAAATGTATATGCATCGAATAAGATCAATTTTAATGTAACACTAAAAGTATGGTCAAACATTGAATATGTTTTAAAGCTTTTATTGTGAAAAATAAATATTATAATATTCTTGATAATAATAAATCTGCAGTAGTTGGTAGCAGTTCAACAAACCATACATGTAAAAAGGTTGCCGAATACTATATAGATAGTATGCACATTATTAGTCCGAAATAGCACATACAATTACAAATCTTTATTTTATCACATGTAATTTTTTTTTGGGGGGGGGGGGGGGCAAATATTTCATGCAGCATCATCCAAAGTTATAGATTACATGTTTACACAAATTTATATTTTGAAGCCAGTGGTAGATCGGGAAGGGGGGTGGTCTTGCTAAAACGCTGAACGGAAAGCGGAACGGAACATTAGTGTCAAGCAAATATACTAGATTCTAAATAAATTACACAAAAAGCAATTTTCTTGATATAAATGTCATTTATAATGAAAATTCATCTATTTTTTTTAAGCACGTTATCTGTAAAGACATATGTTTGACATTCAGCTCATGCATACATGTACATTTATGTAGAAAAGAATCCAAGAATCTTATAGAAAGGGGGGGGGGGGGGGTTGGGGTCTGGGCAGGGGCCCACAACCTCACCAAAAATTCATTTATGAAATCTTATGTATATTTTGGACACAAAAACCCCCCCCCCCCCCCTTAAATCCGCCAGCTTTGCAGTGGCATGATATGCATATCAAGGAATTCAAATATTAATAGCTGAAAAATTAAAGAAAATTCTTGCAAATTAACTAAATACATGTAATTCTTTTTCTTTAATTGAAGCGGCTTAGTATAAATTTTAACATCATTGTTCCATTTCAGGTGTGTAGCAAAGTTATCCTGTTATGGGTGCCTGTAATCATAATCTTCAGAATTTTTTTTTTAGATTTTAGTTCTCTCACCATGGATCATTTATAATAATGGTCATTGACACACACATACCCCCCCCCCCTTTGCCCTACACATCTTTTTTGCTAATGTGATTAAGGCTGACTGGAAGTAATTGTACGTTTGATGTGACCTATAAACTTCAAAACCTACGAGGGAGGAAGGGAAAAATTAAACAAACGAAATCTTCGAAGAAATGAGCACTAGTATTTACTCATTTATGAATTAAAGTACAGTCAATATTTGTAATCATGTAGGCTTCCTGTTTCATAATGGTTTTAAGTAAACTTGTCACTTTACATGAAAGAATAGACTCTCAGAGGGTTCACATGTTGTCTATTTCTATATATGGAATGTATAGTTTTGCTAAAAGTAAAAGAACACTTTAAATATGTTGACTTTTTCGAGTGCCAATTTCACCGAGACATCCGTGCACGGTATACGAACTTCGGGCAGCCTAAAGTTGTAAGTTGTGTGTAAAAAAAAATGTACTGAGAGAAGATAAGTTTGAACTTGATTAATCCCCCTTCCAAATCAAACAGCTTGTCACGATCTTTCAGGGTAAGTTTTTTTATTCTACCCCCGCCCCTTTTCAAAAGCAAAATACTTGCGTACGTCACTGCTGATTTTCGTGAATAAGAGACAGGACATAACTAAATCAACTTGTATTTAAGAAAGAGGGATTAAATATGCATAAGATACACCGTATATGAAAAAATTTGTGTAATTAAAGGGATTTTATCTAGCTGAAATCATATTTTCCGTTTCCTTCCGCGCTTTAGCAACTCCCGGAAAGGGGGATGCTAATTCGGTAAAAAAAAAAAGAAAGAAAGAAAGAAAGACTCGTACCCATGCTAGTGGAATTCTGAAAATCTTACAGTGGTCAGCGACATCCAGCAGCTTTTGACTTATCTGATCAAGCTAAATGCTTCCCTGCCCTTCATCCTTGGATTTTCAGATAAGTAGAGAGTCATACAGATGAAACCAAAACAAGTCTTACATAACCCTCCCGAATCTTTGTTACGAAGAAAAGCAGATTGCAAGTTGTCAGCAATAAAATAAGTGTTGATGTACACAGATACGGGTATTTCAAAACTTAAATCCAGGTACATGTATTATATCCGTAATGTCCAATAGCATACACAATACATTCCTTAATTTATGATCACGACGGTCATGTGCGTAGAAAAAGTCGTATCTACTTTTTATACTTCTACTTTCTTATCCACATATTAGTACATGTTTTATGTATGATAAAATGCCATCACTTCATAGCATAATGCATTTTGTACGATAGAAAACGGTATGGCGTGAATTGGGACTTACCAAGGAATGCAATAAAATGAGAGTAAATATTTACGAGAAAAATATTATTGAATCAACAGCTTAATTTCTTCAATATGTAATAAAAACTGTGTCCTAGCGAATAAGTTGAAATTTTCAGATTACGCTTATTGTACACGTTAAATGTATGGCGTCGCGTCAAAATTCTTCGTAAAATATTGACGTTTTGCTATAAAAGGTACAGTATTGAGCGTTATTTTTGCAATGCATACATTTGAGACAGGTATATAAATTATGTTTCATTTAATTCTACAAATCCTAAGGTTTTTAAGATGTTCTGAACCGAGCAGGTCTGACAAGCGGCATTTTTTGGCCAATATCGTACTTTGTTCTTTACAAAGTGACATTCGCAGTTATTTTTGTTTATATTCCAAGATTTGGTTTTCGAGCGATTATTTTATCATGAATTCACGACATATCGTATTTTTGTAAAGAATAAAGCCATAACCTGCGAAGTTAACGATATAAAAGCGAATTTTTACCTTTCCTCTTATTTTACTTTTTGAAAATTTTCACTAATGGGCCTCCGTAGTTAAATCAGTCTTTTGACCCAAGTTCGGAAAAGATCGTCATTTTTAATTGGTTAAGATAATTGATCGGTTACCCGGATGACAGAAATATGAAGTGATAAACACGATTAATAGGCTCAACTAAGCGCGAGATGGAGGGAATTTTTCTTTTTGAGTTAAAACACAGAAACGTTACACTTGCTTACATAGGTGACGATTTTGTCAAATATTTGAACGACACTGCGCAAAAAAGTCCGAAATTCTGATTTTTTTCGTTCAAAGTTTAGAAAAATATCTATATTTAATTCCCCGTTAGTTGAAATTATGCGCCATTTCACGTCATTCCAGAGAACTGAACAAAACGATTTTTCTCTCCCATTTGTAAGGTTAAAAAGACGCCGATATGGGCGACTGACCACCAAACAGGGGTTAAA